TAAAATCAGCATAATTACAAAAAAACATCTCATAATTTCCTGTAAAACTACCAGGATAACATAACAATGTAACAGTTAATGACAATAAAACCAAGACCCACAACGGCATGTCATGGTACACTCGTAAATAACTTGAACTGTGATGTCTTTTTTTTCCTGTGGTGTCCTAACATTGACATAATAATAATAATCTCAGGACAATTCACACAGCGCCATCTAGTCCCAAGTTAAGCTAGCTAAAGCTTGTGTTATGGGTACTAGATAACTGATACAAATACATAGATATATTTTTTTCGTAAATGCATACATATAATAAACCTAATATAAAAATCTCAGGATAATTCACACAGAGCCATCTAAACCCAAGCTAAGCTGAGCTTGTGTTATGGGTACTAGATAACTGATACAAATACTGAAATATAATGCATACATAATATACATAGAAAACACCCAGACCATAAACAATCATACTCATGAATACAAATGTTTGTGCCGTGCGAGGAATCGAACCTGCGACCATCAAGGCCATGTGCTAAACCGCTAGACTACCGAGGCCATAATCGCCTTAAAAAATAATGTTTAAAAAAAAATCATGATTTATTTAAACAATAGGTACCAAGATCACATAAGTTTGCAGGAGCTCATGACAAATAATCGGAGACCCACTGCGACATGTCACTGGTATACTTGGTCGGGGCTACATCGCATGCAATGATCACATGATTCTTGGCTCCGGGAGACAAGGCGAACAGATCTTCATTTATTTGTGAATTAATTATTTTTCGTAAATGCATACAAATAATATAATACTTTAGAACAATTAACACAGCGCCATCTAGTCCCAAGCTAAGCAGAGCTTGTGCTGTGGGTACTAGACAACTCATACAAATTCACAGATATTTTTTTTTCGTAAACACATTCATTATACATATAGAAAACATCCAGACCACAAACAATCATACTCATGAATACAAATGTTTGTGCCGTGCGAGGAATGGAACCCGCGACCCATCGAGGCCATTATCAACATAAAAAATTTATTACAAAAAAATCATAATTTATTTAAACAATAGGTACCAAGATCACATAATAATAAATTCATAATTAATAGTCCGTTACGGTATCTGTTTATATTCGGATCAAAACAAGTACTATGAAATAAGAACGAGTATATAAATTGATTAACACAAGTAATTGATTTTTGAAATATATTCAGAGCCAAAAAAGTCTTCTTTCTATATTTATGTACTGGTTAGATGCGACAGCGACTTTGTTTTATACACGACATTATAAATAATTAACACAACAACATTTCAAATGTATTTTCTTTATTATTACAAAATATTTTTTGTGCATACTATAATAGTTAATGTCACTTAAAATTTATTTAATATTAAACAACGTTTTTATCGATTAAATTCATTTAATTATTAAAATAGTTAATTTTAAATATAACTTTAAAAAAAAAAAGTCAATGGTGGGAATCGAACCCGGGGTGTCTGTGTGGTAAGTTGGTACACAGGTACACTCCTAACTAGTAAAATTAATTTAATACTTAACGACGTTTTTTCTTGTATAAATTAATTTAATTATTAAAATATTATATTTAAAAAAAAACAAAAGGAAGTAAATAACAATAGTCAATGGTGGGAATCGAACCCGGGGTGTCTGTGTGGTAAGTTGGTACACAGGTACACTCCTAACTAGTAAAATTAATTTAATACTTAACTACATTTTTATTATAAATTAATAATCGTATAAATTAAATTAATTATTAAAATATTAAAATAAAAAATACAAAAAAAAAATAATAAAAAAAAAAGTGTAGGATTCGAACTCGGAGTATCTGTGTGGTAAATTCGTACACAGGTACAATACTAACTAGGCCATTTTGGTGTTGTGTGCTGTGGTGAAAAAACTGGTATATATATAAGTTACACGTACAATTTCAAAGACATTTCTTGAAAACTACTGGCCATTCTGAAATAAAACTTTAGGGTTCGCATATGTAATGTTTGCATATAAAATATGATTAAAGGTTACCAGTATATTTACACTTTTACTGAACAAACAGAGTTGTTTAGTACTGAAAATATTGTGTGGAAGCCATCAATTACTTTCAGTGCACTTATAGCTTTTGCTCTTTTCCTAATTATTATTATTAAGTTTTAAAGTGGTTGAATTTTGCGTAGGGTATTTTTATACGTTATTTCTAATTTACCATTTATTTTAAGTTTTTTAAACTCTATTCATCGAGACCAATCTAATGAGTCCAAACACGATATTTCTGCTGTAAGTTTTCGAAGAGTATGTTCATCATCTGATGATACTGGTGCCAGCATGAAGTCAAGGTTAACAGATAACTAATTACTCTTATTTCGTCAAAATCTTTAGATTACGTATAATAAATTCATAATATCGCTACCTATTCGGATCAAAACAAGTATTTTAGGTACTTCATGTACTATATAAATTCATCAACACACAAGTAAATGATTTTTTAAATATATTCAGAGCCAAAAAGTTTTTGTGCATTTAAAAAATTTTGCTGATACGGAGTCACTATTGCAGGAAATTGTTGAAAAAATATATATCGAGTACAGGTACTATCGACGAATACTTTATCTAGGGAACACGCGGGAACGCGGAACGGCAACATGTTGCCGTTCCGCCACGATACCGTCATAGTGGTAGAAAGAGAGAGACAGTGGAGTCAGCAAATGTATCTACGGGTCGTGGATGGATCAACATAAGTGTGCAACTAAGTGCGCGTAATATATATATATACACTTGTCTTTAATTCAAAAGAAATATAAATAATGAACGCATCACATTTAAAACAGTAATAAGTACGTAATATTATCACATGGTAACAGCACGTATTATGGCAAAAATAAACATCGGCTGATTTGAAAAGATTTATTATAGTAACAATAGTAATCTCATATACAATTCACACAGCTTCATCTAGACCCAAGTTAAGCTAGTTGAACATTGTGTTATGGGTACCAGACAACTGATATAAATACAAAGATTTTTTTTCGTAAATACATATATATTATCTATACATAGAAAACACCCAGATCGTTACAAACAATCATACTCATGAATACAAATGTTTGCAGCGTGCGAGGAATCGAACCCTCGACCACCAAGCAGGAATCAAAGCGGTGTGCTAGCTAAATCGCTAGACTACCGACAACTAGCTGTACACGCGACTTCGTTCGCGTGGAATGTAACTTCTTATATTTTAGAAAAATAAAGTTAAATTCCACACGGACGAAATCCTGTGTACAGCTAGTCATCAGTATAAATATAAAACACGTAGGTTGTGATGACAGGAGCGGTGGTGAGAGTAAACACACACAGTAGGGTGTAACTTGTATATTAACTGTTACATCTTGAATACTCTAGCTTACACTAATTACATAAACTATATATATGAGGTACTGCGTGACCTACGTGTCGTTATACAAAACGTACACTCGCACAATCTTTTACTGAACGTGCTGATTTGCATCACTATACCACACCTCCCCTGAAAAGTAGGGTGTCTATGGTGAGGGTGTCCCCTCCCTCTGAAAGTTTAACATTACAAGGACAATTTTTATTATTTAAACATTTACATACAAAAAGACAAAAAAAAAACAGCACTAAGGATTAATTTAACTCAACAATTTCTCAAGGTATATCATACCTGAGTACAAAAAAAATACAAACTTTTATAATTACATTGTATTGTTAATACATATTTGTCATCATCTAACAGATCTTGTTTTCTACTAAACAAGTAGTAACCAAAAATTAAAATTAGGCCTTTTACTCTATAACAATTTTAAGAAATTTTATGCTTTACATTATTGGCCAATGTGACAATGCTCACTTCATTATCTGTACTTATTGACTTACTATACTTATCTATACATTTTACAGTATACCTACATAATCGTAAAAACTCATCATACTTCTGTATATACCGACAGAACTTATTCACTTGAGACTTATTGTACATATTTTTAATAATTATAACTTCCATAATATTATGATCCTTGCATATCTTTACAAGTTCTCTTAATGATTTATCTACGCCCACCTTTGTTAATAGAGACGTTTGATTTAAATATATTATAGATCCAGATAGAACTACATTGCACGCATTATCATGCTTATTATGCATACCTAACACATTTCCTAATGTCTCCTTATTACAAATATTTAATTTCACACGAAACTGTGATTTTCTAGCAATTCCTACCATCTTTGATGGACTAGATTTTATTTTCACTTGAGAACATTTATTAATTTTCTTAATTGGACCTTGCGTAATAACGCCTGAACAGCATGAGTTTAATTTTTTTAACTCATCGGACGTTACAATTATTTTCGATAATTGGTCCGTTGTTCTATTTTTCGCACAATTTCCATTTTCCACAATATAATCAATTTTCCTTTTATTAGGAAAATTAACATATTTTATACCATTTTCTCTTTTTTGAAAAGGTATACGGACCCTATCGAGTGATCCGTGGGGCTTTATACTTAAACAGCCCAATTCAAAATTTATAATACCTTTAAATTGTATTAAAAAATCTTCTCCTAATATACCATGCGAACTGCACTGTAATTCTTTAAATACATAAAACTTTTGTCTAAATTGCAGTTTCTGAAATTCAAGATTCAGGTAAACAAATCCCATTGCCTCTAGATTACCACAAACGCCTTTTATTATAGCGTTATCTTTATGGATCTTAATTGAAGGCAAATTTTTTAACCAATCATACTTTAAAACTGACATTGATGCTCCTGATTCTGCTATCAAAAATATATCATTATTAAAACAATTAAATTTAACTACATTATTTGTGTTAAAAGCTAAAATTTCGGTATTCTTATTTCCATGAACAAAATCTAACGATGTCTTTCTATCGCTATTCCTACTATCAGCTGACGCTTTGACGTAATTCATATGCTTACTATAACAAATTGCGCGACCTTCTTTACTATGCATTTTGCTGACTTCGCGACTTAGTATTATTACGCTTCGCTTGACATTGATTTGTTCTGCGATCAAATTCGCGTGCGTCATAATTTATTTTATTTATTAAACACGTTTGGAAGTTCTTAGGAATGAATTCCTCCTCTTCTATTGCTGTTTTGACAGCTTCTTGTAAATTTGATATTTTTCGACATATTATATACATTGTCAACCTACTATCGTTTAGCCCGTATGCAAATTGCCTAATTGCAATATTCTCATTTATGGGCAATAGAATATCATACGCGGTGTTCAAACCCCCCGCTTGGGCAATTGTTAATTCAACAAACAACCTTTCAATTTCATCCCCAAACTCTAAAATTGTTCTATTACCCTGCCTACATTTTTGTAGTTGCGTTAAAATGAATGTATACGATTTACTTGGTAATAAAATTTTTCTTATATCCTCCGTTAAATTATTAATATTATCGTAGTTTGATTTTAATTTTAATTTGGCACAACTAGAAAGTCTCGACTTTAATATAAAATTAATTAATAAGGGGTGGTCATCAGGCCTAAGGATGGTTTTGTAAAATTCAATGCCGTCTAAAAGGCTTTTTATAACTTTCTCATCCTGATTCACTATAGGTAATAGCAATAAAGCTGTTTTTAAATCAAATGCGGCCATTTTTAAAATATACAGACTAATATAAAATTCTTTCAAAAATTGTGTAAGTGGCCTGTCACAGTTTGCCTACTTCCTGTTCAAAATAAGTGACTTAAATTTAAATACACAATCAAATATTATATACCACTTAATATGTCCCTAAATTATATTTTCACTGCACCAAACACGTATAAAAAAAAATGTCTTCAGAAATGACACTAATCACGGCACAATAATCACTACAACATTTGTAGACCGCTAGCACCCTTTTATTCAATCTTCATACTTCCATCTATGGATGCAGCATTCAATCCAATTTTTTAGGCACAGGTATGCGGTGAACCTCAATTTGAGGATATTGGACACCGATGGCCTAGGAACTTTAATTTCCACCGTACAATATATTGAGGATAAATAATTTATACCTCTTTGCTGCCCGAAGATCTTCAGAGTATAGTCTGATCTTGATCCATTTATGCAGCTTCTTTGTCACGGTCGCCATGTGATGACAGGAGCGGTGGTGAGAGTAAACACACACAGTAGGGTGTAACTTGTATATTTAACTGTTACATCTTGAATGCTCTAGCCTACACTAATTACATAAACTATATATATATGAGGTACTGCGTGACCTACGTGTCGTTATACAAAACGTACACTCGCACAATCTTTTACTGAACGTGCTGATTTGCATCACTATACCACAAGGTATCTCTAATATATTATACACTAGCTATTCCCGCGACTTCGTCCGCGTGGTTTTTAACTTTATCTTTCTAAAATAAAAGTAGCTTAAGTTACTCCTTATTACATCAGCTACCTGTCAAAAAAAGTCCCATCAAAATCGGTCCAGCCATATCAGAGATTAGCCGGAACAAACAGACAGACAGACAAAAATTGTACAAAAATATATTTTAGTATATGTGCCGTATATTACAAACAACAGGCTTCAACATCCTCAAGTACCACAAAAAATATGTTTTTTCTATCAAATAAACCGTTTTTATTAAAAACAAACTGTTCCCGCGACTTCGTCCGCGTGGAATTTAACTTTATTTTTCTAAAATAAAAGTAACCTAAGTTACTCCTTATAAACTAGCTACCTGCCAAAAAAAGTACCGTCAAAATCGGTCTAGCCATTTCAGAGATTAGCCGGAACAAACAGACCGACAGACAGACAGACAAAAATTATAAAAATTGTTAATTTGGTATATGTACCTTATATATATTCATATGCATGTAGTAAAAAACGGTTATTTCAATATTACAAACAGACACTCCAATTTTATTTATATGTATAGATGTATAGATTATTATTTATTTATTTATTTATTCATCCAAAATAACACAAATTGTGTAGGATAACGTAATAGTAACATTACAGTAAAATTTTGTCAACAACATAATAGTAACTTAACCATTAAATCTCGGTATATCTATAGACTAGCTGGCCCCAGCGACTTCGTCCGCGTGAAATTTTATTTTATTTTTCTAAAATAACAGTAGCGTAAGTTACTCCTTATTACATCAGCTACTTGCCAAAAAAAGTCCCGTCAAAATCGGTCCAGCTATTTCAGAGATTAGCCGGAACAAACAGACAGACAGACAGACAAAACTTGTAAAATATGTTATTTTGGTGTATGTACCGTATTTATATTCATATGCAAGTAGTAAAAAACGGTTATTTCAATATTACAAACAGACACTCCAATTTTATTTACATGTATAGATGTATAGATTAAAAAAAAAGTAACAGTCATAAGGATAGTCGTATGCCTAATATATGATAATGTAATAAATTCATTTAAACAGAAATTGCGGCAACATTATTTAAATTTGTAACTTTTTTACTGTCCTCCTTTTTTCACATCTTTCTGTTATATCCCTATAGTTCTCTCTATATTTTCTGTTTTTCTTACTTTCAATTTGAGACTGTACTTATAATTTGATTATCGGATCATTATGTATTTACTTATATATAATATTTATACATTTATGGGTTATATTTACATATATATTTATATATGTATATTGTTATTTTTTTATAGAAATGTATATTTTGCTTATCTTTATTATCTTTATAAATCTTTTTTTGACATTTCTTATTTATATTAGTGCACCGCCAATAATCTTTCGCTGCACCACTCATGGTTGCCGGTAAATAACGCGGCAAAATATTAAGTCCGCCACATGTACAAATTTTTTTGTGCATTAAAGTTAAAGAAATAAAAAAAATACAATACTGTTTAATGAAAATGCGTATTGTCTAGTGCTTTGAGATGTATCAAAATAAGGTCAACAAAAAAGTCCGTGATGGTATATGTCTATCTCTTAAGGATAACCAAAAATATCCATTTTTTATCTTTTACATTTTACGGGAATTTTTTTTATCGTACGTTTCCCTTAAAATCATGTAAACAATGTTATTATGTCATAATCTAAAGAAATAATAATATTTTATAGTGATATATCCACTATAAAATATCAAAAAGCAATGTAATTCGTTACGCGCGAATCAGCTGTTATAAGGTCAAAGGTCGGTGCACCCCGCGTATTTGATAAATAGTGCTTCTCTGGATGTCTTTAAGAGAAAATGGCAGTATGTACGTGTATATGTACAAGTCCTTAAGTGTTAAGTTTTTCAAATGTACAATAAAGAATAAATATTTTTAAGTACAGTACTTACGTACATTAATATAATACCTACTTTTTACTTGTATCTATTGTTATCAAAATTAAATTATAAGTTCTTAACTTGACCACGACTATGTGACCCTCTCTTGGCGCCAAAACGAGTGAAAAAATGAACAGCATACGACGACGACGCAGTACCTATAGAGTGGAGCAACTGCTTATTCAGTTTTATTCAACTATTTAGTCCCTCCACCGTTACAATGAATGGAGGCGGATATTACAATGTATGTAGCATTGCGAATATAAAATATCTAGATTAGGTATAATAAATTCATAATTGATAGACCGTTACGGTATCAGAGCCAAAAAGTCTTCTTTCTTTGTTTATGTACTGTTAGATGCGACAGCGACTTTGTTTTATACTACACTATGTAATGATTGATATACCTAAAATAAATAAAATATCTGAGGTTTGGACAAAAATTCAAAAGGTACTTTATTTTGAAAAAGTATTTTGAAAATACCTACTTTGCATTTAGTATTTGAAATACAAAACACAAAACTATTTTTGTTTTTAGAGTGACATTTCTATGAATTCACTGTCGATAGCGAGCGGTGCGATGGAAAAAGATAACCGTTTATAAAAATATAATAAATAGCCCTGGACAATTATTACAGACTGATACTGGACTGATATAAATAGATATTTTTATTTTGTAAATACATATATAATATACATATAAAACACCCAGACCGATGAAAACAATCGATGACCGATGAGTACAAATGTTTGCACCGTGCGAGAAATCGAACCCGCGACCATCGGATGTAAAGCGGTGTGACCACCGAGGCAGTCGAAATATATGAATAATCTTATGAATTTAATTTATTCATATTTGTTTGTGTGCGTGGGGTGCGGTGTACGGTCCCCCTGCCTCCACCGTTGCTGGAGCTTGCATGTATGGAGCATTGCGAATATAAAATATCTAGATTAGTAAATTAATAAATTCATAATTGATAGACCGTTACGGTATCTATATATATTCGGATGAAAATAAGTATCGCAGTAAGGACGAGTATATAAAGTGATCAACACAATTAATTGATTTTTGAAATATATTCAGAGCCAAAAAGTCTTTGTGTATTCAAAAAATATCTAATTTGTTTGTGTGCGCGGGTGGTGTACGGTGCAGGGGGACCCTGCCTCCACCGTTGCTGGAGCTTGCATGTATGGAGCATTGCGAATATAAAATATCTAGATTAGTAAATTAATAAATTCATAATTGATAGACCGTTACGGTATCTATATATATTCGGGTCAAAATAAGTATCGCAGTAAGGACCAGTATATAAAGTGATCAACACAAGTAATTGATTTTTAAAATATATTCAGAGCCAAAAAGTCTTTGTGTATTCAAAAATGTAGCCGTTTGGAGCCAGTCATGCACGAATTATTAGTAAAAAATGTATCGCGTATATCGTACTATCGACGAATATATATGGCCACATCGCAAAATAGAATGCGATGTTGCCATACCGCCTGAGATATACGCGATAGGTGTGAAGTTATTCAGTGCAAAAGGTGGAATCAGCAAGTGTTTGGCTTGTGGCGTGATCAACAAAGTGCCCAAAGAGGTGTTTATATATATATATATAGTTAACTCTTAGTTTAATTCTATTAATTTTAGAGAGAAGAGATTCTTTCCCTTCACAAATATTATGGGGGGGATCGTTACAATTGGTGCCGTGACCAGGATGCCAGGATTGGGTTATAGGTAATTTCTTTATTAAAATAGATCTCTGCGGACACTTGATCACAATTGGAGTCTGTGATTGAGTGAATTGGTTTTAAAATATGATGAGAGTAGCAAATAAATGTAATTGAAATGTTATAGTATTATGAAAATATATTTACGAATAAATTAGGTAGCTAGTGGAATATTAGGTTCGTTAAGCTATTGAAAATTAGCTAACTATTAAAACGTTAATTCTTTAAATATTATGTATCTAATTCTAAATTGTCTTTTTATTTCGAATTTAAAAGCTAATTATATAAAACCATATAAAAAAAATCATCAATAATCGTTTTGTTAAAGTTGTCATGCAATACAAAATCATTTCAATTTATAAAACGCGATAATATCAAATGAAGGTAACATAAAACATTTTTATCAATAAATCACTAGAGAGATAGGAAAACTAAATATTCAGTGGTTTTCAACAATGTCACAATATATATATTTTTTTTTCGGCGGGTAGTTGTAACTGTAAGTATATTGAAAAATTAATAATAAATAAACTTCCTTCGGATCACTGTGGTCAAGTTGTTAAGTTTAGTAATCAGACTAAAAAAAATACCAATAATAAAAGATCAAAAAGACAAATAAATGCTTACAATATTAATAAATACAAAAGCACGGTTAAATATAAATTAGACTTAGAGTTACAATCTGTCAGTCTTAATAATCCTGATATTCTTTACACCAAGTTAATTAGTCTTTTGTCAAAAGAATACCAGAATATTTTCAAGAAAAGA